AATAATAATAATAATAATAATGATAATAATGATAATAATGATAATAATGATAATAATGATAATAATAATAATAATAATAATAATAATAATAATAATAAGATAGGAAGAGGAAATGTCTCTTATTTGGTATCAATCGATCAATCTTCCGTTCATCTGCAAAGAGTTTTGAAATTTGCATGTGCAGACCAGGATTGCGGGATGTTTATGTGATGAGGACTGGAGACCTTTTTTTGTGTAATATATACTTGTAACATTCATCGGTTTACCTAGAACCTGAAAGAACGTTTGATGACACTTTTTTTTTTAAATGACCCAAACTGAATTTTCATTTCAATTTGGAGGAAGTTATTGTTATGTTGTCATCTAACGATTCCGCAAAGTAATAATGTTAATGGTAATAACAGCTGAGCAGTATAAGTTGCCCGCCTGGCTAGTTAAACCAATAATGAATTCCCTTTATTCTATACTAAAAAAAAAGTAGATTTTGATACTTGAGATATTTATTTAAACATAAAAAAATACAAATATCTTAGTATGAAACATGAAAGTAAATAAATAATAATAATAAAAAAGATTTAATGCTTATTAATTAATTATAACCTGGACCGGCTGAGTGCATATGTTCATCATGATATGATATTCATTGGAAGCTTTGACATTTGTTTCCTTCTGATCTAGTACTAACTCTAATGAGGTTCTCACCCACAAATGAAAATAATGAATGACCACTGCCAATTCTAATTTGACGCGCTGAAAAGAGTTTAAGGACAACAAAGGAAGACTTTAATTGTCACTTTTGTCCAAATTGCTTCCTCACTTTGCCTTAGCCTAATATTGTATAGATTCTGGATTCAAAACACATTTTGACTTCGAGTATTAGATAGGGTTAAATGAGTACAAAACAACCTTGTCTTATTCTGTTCTTAAGCTAGAAGTGATCCTGAGTATACAATCTGAAAGCCTGATTTTATAAGAAAATGAAGTGGACAGTGAGATCAACCGAAGGTGTGGAATTTTATTCTATTATTGATACTCTCTCAAATTGGAAAAGCTTATACGAAATATAAGTTAATACTACAAGACCGAAACTGTCACAGAAATAGCAGGTCAAACAAACTCGTAAAGGTAATGCTGATGGAAGTAAGTTTAGGGAACTAATATTTAGAACTATGTATTGAAAATATCAAAAACGATGTCAAGAAAAGAGGAAAATAGACTGATAAATTAGGGGGAAGTCTGAGTTATAAAAACATAAATAATTTTTCCAGTTTGATACTGAAATCAAACCTTGGTAGATATAAATTAAACTACGTTTTTTTTTCCAAGGTTTAGCTATACCACGAGCGCGGTTCTACTCATTCTTTAACTCATCATTAATCAATTTGAAAATCACGAAGTTATGATGAATATATAAAACACAGATGAAAGGTGAAAGAATTAAGATGAAGTTCATTCTTTTTCAGTAAAGTTGCGCAGTTAATGAGTAGTTGGAAATATACTGCATACGGTTGATCACCTGTCTTACCATACCTTATTCATCGGTTTGGTTCCACGATTATACCGAATAGAAAATGTTTTTTCATGTTCTATATACACTCAATGCTGACTACACTCGAAACTGGTAATTGATGAACGATCCACATGCAAATCAAGCATTCATTCAGCTGATATTTAGCTCAAAAATGCATTATTTTCATAGGGATCATAGAAACCAGACCTTTTACATGGTTTTGAATAAAGAACCAACAACAACGAAAACAGCAACAAAAAGACTTACAGCTAATCAAACCTCTTTTGATGAATTTAAATTAGATTGATTCTTTATTCTTCTTCAACTTGTGTCAATAGCAAACCCCGGGGATCTGATTGGTTCTCAGCAGTCCTTAAATTGATGCAGCACTAGAACTGTCCAATTTGACTTGTTCTGTAATAAGCTACTTGTAATCGATTCTTGCCTCTAAGAGTCTGTTAAATTCGTCATCGGTAATCGATAACTCGAATTATTATCTTGCTCTGTTAGTCATTTACGCATTGCTGGTTTTTACTGTCACGCAATCGAAAATTAAAAAATCAAAACCGTTTAATAGATAAAATCCCAGAATCTGGGAAATGAAAGAAGGTAAATATAAAAAGACCCTCGCCAAGATTCAGGTCAGAGCAATTTTTACATGCGAGATATCGCCAGAAATGTTAGTTTGCCTAACTTATAGAGCTTCGGAGAAGCCATGTTTGTGTCCCTCTGAGTGGCACCAACATGGCGGCAGATACATCTGTTACCCAGTTTTTCCACGAACGCGTGAATTCATCCCTCGAGGAACTCATGAACATTAAATTTTCCTTTCTAATACAACTCTTCACTCTAGATAGCAAAATCTTTTAAACAAAATAAATCACTCTTTAACCTACATGACAACTCTCTCGGCCACTTTCCACTATAGGTAAATGCTGTGTCACCCAAAAGGTTAGAAATTGAAGAGTACTCTATCTCAAACAAAGAGCTCTTTTCAAGTGAAAATTTCTAAAAATTTAAGTTCAATTTTTAGTTGCTCTAACTCTTTATGAGAGTAAAAACTCAGGAGGATCGATAAATCTTGATTTTCGGTATTTGGTAAAATTGACATCGTATGAAATGTTTGAGGTATCTTTTTGAAAAGTCTTACCCTCGCATGGTTCCCTTATAAAAAAGAAAAAAGAAAAAAAATACATATATATCCGGACTTTTCCGGCTTTCTTCCTAGTAACATCAATGGGAAAATATAAATATATGTTTTATTAATCATAACTTCAGGCAAATTGGTGATAAGAGTATTTACCGATCTGAAGCGTATGGAGTGATTAAAAAACGCCATTTTATTTACATTTAATTTCAAATTCATCTTACATAATGTTACATTAGATTTAAAGAATTTTTAAAATTTGAACTTAATACTATATACTGGGTTAAACTTTCCGGGGTATATTGTTATCTCCCTGTAATTTAAAAACAAATAAACAACTAAACTGGAGCAAGCAACAACAATAACAACAACGACAAAACATATATAACAACGGATGCGAGTGACTGCTGGATGACAAATAGACTTAAATGTTTATAGTAATGCTGTTGTTCCACCATTGATCACACTAGATAATGATTGATTCAGCTGTTTGTTCAGAGTCAAATTCATCCTGTAAAACAATCGCCTTTTTAACCAACTAATGTGATTTTCATGCACATACGTCATTGCAGAACACCTAGGAACTCATTATTCAAGATACTTGGTATGTAAATATGTTTGCAATAATATTGATCTTGGCGCACCTGATTGCTAGCTGTTTTACGACATTCTTAGCCATAAAGGAAATTAAGGTTTGTGTTCTATATTTTATCATGCTAGTGTATGCAAGTCAATAGTTTCATAATTTCAGAGTCACGACAATGTGAATTTCCCAATTGAATTTAATACGGCGCACTGACCATTACTTGCGGGCTTTGGACCAATTATCTTAAAAGCAGCTGCAAATTTTGAGAAAAGATTTCCTAGCTGTAGCCATTTTTCTAAAAGATTGGAGTTTAAAACTACGTTTCGCTGGAATAAAACTGTTGGTAGCATTTTCTTTTTCAGTGCTTTTTGTTTGATTGAAGTCTTCATCTAGAAAATTCATAATAATTTCTTGAGCTTTCCTGTTTATTCCACTGAGATATTCCTCAGTTAACTTTAGATCATTGTGGGTGCTTTATTAACTCAATGAAATTCTTAAAAATAGAGGAAAAGTTACAATGGATATCGTGTTATATAGTGAATGAGGACCTCGCCTTCAAAAAATCGTACTTTTATGTTATGAGACTGAGATCGATGCGATCGAATTGAAGAAAAGATCACTTGTTAGCGACAATCGAGCGAGTTAAGCAAATAGCCTGCTGCCCTATACTAAGAAGAAATGTTGAAAGTTGCCTGATTTATCCATTAAATATATCGGACAATCAAAAATGACATTTCTGATTTTTATCTTTACTGTCAATATTATGACGTCATTTCCTCTCCAAAACCGTTAGAGCCTGAATACATATACGATTGTTGGGAATTCAGAGTTCTGTTATCCTGAAATGTTTTAGATCAAAACGGATAAATATTTCAAAACTATTTTAAAAGGGACCTCTTTTTGCTTGCAGCTGGTGTGGAGTGACTAAACGCCGTGCAAAACCTTTTCCATAAGAGTGCCTTTAGATTCTTTGTTTGCAGAGTTTGATTACATCATATATTGAGTTTATCTATCTACCAAGTGTTTTAAGGATTACTCCCTAAAAGGTGTGGTTTAATATACACTCTTAACCGGCTCAGCAAAGTCTAAGAATTAAATAAATTGAATCTGAGTAAGTGATTTCCGGGTATCAGTTATTCCATGCTGTTTGTGTTAATTCACTTCGCCACCAAAGCACCCATATATGGTAATCTCAGCCCTTTTCACTGAAAACAATTTCTTAACTTCAGCTGTAGATGTATGTGAAAATTTCGAAAGTTTTACCTTAATACATCAAAAACATGTAAGATAGTACGAGCACAGTTTTTACGGAAACCAAAGAGCAAGCAGCGAAATAAATTATAAACACACGACTAGCACTTTTCAATGAACAATTGAATTTACTGTACAACAGACGCTCGAGAAAGCGCAATCAGCGGGTGGCAGGTTGAGATGCTGATTACATGAGAGTCTATCAGCGTTTTATCATTAGGACAAATGAAACGTTTTGTAGCTAATTATGCATCAAAATTCAATTACACCACATAGTAATGGTTCATTTCGATTTGCTTACACATTCAACCAATTCAGTCTCATTTCACATCAATTATCTCTCAAACTGCTTGCTAAGCAAGATATTTCAATTAAATGTTTAGGTTCCCAAAAAACGCCACGACGTAACTAACTTTTTCAACAAAGTCATTCAACTCAGCAACTGATCAAATTCAATTGAGGCCCCCTCAGGGTACAGCATTCATCAATAGACTAAACTGCAGCCAAATCTATTAGCATATAGTAATTTTTCCTCCTTTCGTATGGTATTCCAACGTCGAAGAAGTCGGGCTAAAGAAGCGCGGGCGACTATACGAATGCTTAGAGACAGCTGTGAATAAGGTAACTCTGATGAATGATCTCCAACTCGATTATGTCAAGTTTTGTAGATCTCTTCAGGTTCTGTTTTCAGTAAATGCCGTCACAACATATTAAGCAGAGTTAGACATGAATGTTCATGTATGAAAAGGCAGGATTTCAGCTATCGATTCTACATGTTGATCAGCAAACAGCAAACAGCAAACAGTAATGAAAAAACAGCAAACAGTAATGAAAAAGTGCCGACTTTTTGGCTGAGAACTTTAGGCTAAGGAGCTACTTTACAAAATCCGCTATGCCATTATTTATCAGCCAATGATTTTTGCTCATGTAACCGTTGATTGCTTCTAAAGTCGGAGGTGTTAATTCGCTTCATTTGAATTACAAGAAAGTCGAACTCTAATTTATTGTTAAACATTTCCTGATGGCAAGTATTCAACAGTAACTTCTCGGAAGAACGCGGAAAGAGCCACAAGTCTGGATCCATCTTCAGATCAGACACTTAAGCTTGATAGCGACAGTTATGCAAAATCTGGTTCTGTTTTACAATGCTTAAAGTTTTCGTTTTAAGCAAGCAGAGAAAATGCAGGTTCATGGTAGTGATTGAATAATGTATTCCAGTTGAGGAACAGAATCAGTACGTTATGTCTGGTACTATTTAATTAAAACTGGCACTCACTGATCAGGCTTCACAGCAGAATATGCTTTTGAAAATTATCTAAAAAAATCACTTGTGTGAAGTCATTATCCCTCTAGCCATATATTACTAAGAATATGTTTCTGGCTGACAACATCAACCATCGTCTCCACGATAAAAATTAAAACACGCAGTTTTTCTATACAGTTATTAAGGAAAGCGAATTGGTTAGCCAATAGTTCCAGCTCAAAAAGTGTGATCCAAATCAAATTAAACGCTCCTATAGACATTGATATGCTTGAAAAACTATTTTCATTTTCATTATTAAAATTAGAGAGCATTGTTTTGGCGTATCGTGATGATTTCTTTTTCTTTATATATCTATAGCAATTGACTCATTATTTCAGTAAACATTGATTGCTGCTAAAATAAAAGGTATTAATTCGCTTCATTTGAATTACACGAAATTCGAACTCTAATTTCTTGTTAAACATTGCCTGATTGCAATTATTCAACAGTAATCTCTCTTCTGAAAAGCGGTGTACTGAAGAACTATGAAGGAGCCACCATTCTGGATACATCTATAGATCAGACACTTGATAACGACAGTTATGCAAAATTTGGTTCGATTTTATCATGCTCAAAGTTTTCGTGTACGTTAAGCAAGCAGAGAAAATGCAGCTTCATGGTGGCAAGTAATTAATGCCATCCAGTTGTTATCGGAAAAAGAACTAACTTGAGCTTTCTTGGCTTCGGAAAACAAAATTTCATGCAATTGGCCAACCAATAGAGTTATCAGATTTATTACACATGAATGATTTCCTGACAGAAGAAGCTTTTAACTTTGTTAGCTTTTTTTTGATGACTGCGTGCAGAGCCCCTTGTGCATCTTTGATTATATTTAAGCCCTTGACGACTGCTTTGGTGGTTTTCGTTCCATATGGAACGATGCATATTTTCTTTCGTGGACCCATTTAGCTTTCAGTTTAAGTTAATAAATTGATAAGCAACGACGTCAGCAAATATAGATCTTCCCAGCGATACCTCGTTTTGAATATTCTGACCAATCCTAACAGAGTTACGCTCACAAAAAAGGTAACATTTTGGGGAAAAATCCACTGCCAATTTCACTGTTTACCTACTACTGTTTGAAGATTAAATTTGTCCCCTTCCTAATAACTTGGCCAGCTACAATTCCATACAAAAGAAAGACGATAAAGTGCGCAACAAAAGAAAGAGAGAAGGAAAGGTCGAAACAGATTGGCAAAGAAGGTCCAAATTTTGGCTTGTGCGCATGTGTGAAAAACAAAAAAGCTGTTTAATTTCGCCCGATTAGTCGGAAAATATGCCCTTTTTTCTTGCAAACTCATTTTTAGCCATTCTCATGCTAATTAGCCGAAAACCAGTCCAAAGAAACGGAATTAGTGAAAAACGCGTTTTTTCGCTACTGGCCGACCATCACCAAAGTTTTGGCATTTGGTTATCCCTCCCCTAACTCAACATTGAGTAAAAAAGGTAAGGGATAGTAGTTGGGCAGTTTCCCAGAAACCTAAATTGATCCCATAATTCTCGGTACTGAACTACTTTTTTATTAAAGCTCTGAGTTCTGAGGGTCATGTAAATAAGGGTTATCGAAAAGAATATTGCATAATATATATAGAAAAGGAAGTAACTATAAATCGATCGAATAGCATTGGCCGTCACTATGAAGATGTGTGTTGAAGGAGCATTTTTTCAAATTTACTCGTAAAGTAACATTTTTATTTTGCTGATCATAAGCTTTTTCTGTGTTTCAGACTGATTAGTCTTAATTTCCGACAAAGGTGCCCACTTGATTTCCTGGCAGAAGCGTCAATCATTTTCCTCATCTGCAACATCACTGTATCAGTCTTTGTTAACATTTAACATGGCTTCAAGAGAGCCTGGACATTATTGGTGGACCACAGCAGAAAAATCAGTTTTGGCGGCGACGCTTGGGATTGTCATCGTCTTCGGAATCTGTGGAAATGTCATTGTAATAGTCGCAATTGTTCGATTCAAGCGTCTTCGGCGATCCGTGAACAGCTATTTAATATTAAATCTGGCGATTGCCGACTTTTTGACAGCATTCCTTCTTATGCCTTATCACTTAGCAACCGTGTTGGACCTTAGCATCATTTCTGGAAATGGCATGCTTTGCAAAATCGGTGGAATATTGTCGTATCCGTTCTACATATGTTCGACTGTGACCCTTGTCATGCTTGCTATTGAAAGACACATCGCCGTTAGTGATCCACTACGGTATTTAAGTCGCGTTACAATTCGGACTATACTTATCATGATATGCTTCGCTTGGTCTCAGGCTATATTCTTCAGTCTACTGTTTTTAATTTTGGGCAATATCAAGTTTTCTGTCGTAAGCTTGGATTGTGGAGTGGCCTGGGAAGGCACACCGCTTTGGCTCAGTGTGGTTGCAGTGATTATGAACATCGCTTTACCATTTATTCTTCTGTTGATTATGAGCTTGCGAGTAATGGTTATAGCCAGGAGACATAAAATGAGAATAGCGACACAAACATCTTGTGTTACCCGGAAGCAAAGAAAAAAGAGCGTCTTTTCAGGTTCGTGTATAAAAGGCTATAACTGTAGCTTTTCTTCATCGCTGTTTGGCATTCACGGTACAGTAAGCTTGCTCAACCTCTTGCTGAGGTATTAGTAATCAGAATTAATCAATGTTAGGTGGATAGTTATTATGTATATGATGGGTTATCAAGACTTCTCTTTCGTTGAAAGAATTTTGCAATATCAAATTTAATGCTTCTGAGAGAAGATTTTGGTCTAGAACCTCGGTCTTCTCTAGCCTGCCCTCAAGACCGTCTATCGACTTCTCTATAGGTCCTGAGTAACAAGTCCGGCTGAAACGCAGGCTTAGCTCTTCTCGTGAGATTAGCATTGCATTAGCAAAATTGTGTGGCAATAGGTTTTCACTAGATAACAGAAGGGGGAGTCACGAGTTCAAGCCAAGAGCGCAAAATGTCGTTTAACAATACCAACGCCAGATTAAAAGCATCAAAATATTTGATTGGTAAGCGTTAGAAAAGCAGATTAGCTGTAAAAATAAAAAAAAGTCTCGGATGGAAAGTGTTACTGATCATGAATGTAGTTGGTTGGTTAATGATCATCCTGGAATCCGGGACATATGCCTTCGATGGTTGACTTCACCTAAAAATTCGGGAAATTTCTCGCGTTGAAGGTCATTTTTTCCTTTTGCTCTACCTTTCATCATGTTTTATTTACTTAACCATATCTCTTCATACAAATTCAGTCGCAGTTCCCTAAAAATATCTTTAGAATCACTTCCAACGCCAGCACCAAGGTGTTTGCTTATTGGAGGTTGAACTGTATACTGATTCATACCTGTCATTGGGTGCATCTCATCACGGACCGTATGTTAACCATGATTGGTATTTTCATAATGAAGCATAAACTGAGGAAGGTACACAAGAAGGAGAAGGGAAGGAGGGCCAGGCGGTAAGAGGGAGCCGTCTGCTTCTCCTTGAACCATGGTTTGGGTTTGAGGATTATCATGAGGTTAATACTTTGTGATTGTATTTCAGGCATGGAAGTTAAAGCAACTGTCACCATATTGGTGGTAATTTTTGTTTTTTTAATCCTCTGGATTCCGTTCCTAATCACACGTGGACTCCTCGTATTTAACCGGACTGAAATTCAGCCCATAGTCACCACATCAGTTGTATGGCTTCTTCATTTGAACTCAGTGGTGAACGTTGTTATCTACTCACTGCGCAGGTCCGATTACAGGAGAGCATTTGTGGCTGTGCTTCACTGCAGGTCATTATCACGATCAAATGGTTGGCAACATTCAATGACTGTCAGAACAGATAATCAAAATCTAACTTTTCCAAATTCTGACGCTGAAAGTGTCTCTGACGTGAACAGTCCTAAAACCCTTGCTTTCACGACACCAACTGTTGCTGGGAAAAATATAAACGATGTTGGAGTTTAGCTTTAATTTGCCAAAAAAAAATTATAAATCTTTATCAACGAGTGTTTTCCTTTTTACACCATTAGTCGAACATCAAGAAAGATAAATTGCGTTTGAAAGGCTTGCTTGCGTGATTTCTAGGAATTTATAGATGTGATACTTTGATGGCTCACGCAGTCTAACGCCTCTGGATAATATGAGGAATAGTAGCTTGCCTAGCTAATTGGAATTAGTTAACCGTGGAATCAGCGAAACGTGACCAAAAACATCATTGCCTTAGCTTTGAATCAGGTTATGATTCAAAATCGATTACTTCGCTTGATCATAAACATGTCAAGGAGTACCTAGATTTTGCAAAGTACATAGGAATGTTTTTCTTAAAAACGAACAAGGCTTAGAGCTACTTCAAATTGTTTTCAAAAGGTTTAAAAGAAGGGGATAATTTGGAACCAAATCCAACTTTGGTGCCACGTCAGGACATGTCAATTTGATGGTTCTACGAAATCTGCAGACTTATTGGCACAAAACAGAACCCAAACAACAGGTTGTTAATCTAAACCCACGCGGGGTGTTAAGAAAATATGGGAGAAACCTAGTTTGTACATCACTATAAATGTCTACTGAAATAAAGGGAAGAATTAGAGTAATGTTTACGGCAGCGGAAAACGTCAATTTGTATCAGGTGATTCAAGGTTTCATTCTACACACTGGACTGTGTTTCTAGCTACTCATATGGACTGTTCCCGCCGCGGCATTATTAACCTTATGAACAAATGTCCAACTGCATTCGATATCACTGTTTGACAGGATCCGTTTGACCGGCCCAAAAGTTTTCAAACACGCAATCCTGATCAAGTATCAACAGACCACATCCAACACCACTCGAGGGTGTTGCAACCATACTTTATATATTTAATGGATATGAATCCCGCCAGACTTCCCTTGTTTTTTTTTTACCTTTTTAAAACCTATTTTTTGGACCGTGGAGAATTTTACACGCATTTTAAAGTAACTGACCAATAGAAACGTCCCATTTATCTAATCAGTCACAATTTGGGAGCCTATAACAAAAGATTATCCACTGTCTTGAAGCTCCAAACATAAGCACACAAACAGGAGTACAGTTGTTTTCATCTTTTAAATTAAGTCCTTTCCGGTTTTCATATTTATGCAGTTTCCTCTTCTAATATAACCAATGTTCAAAAAGATCCAACATGTTCTAGTTCGATAAACTTGTTGGACCACTTAAACTAAAACCTTAGTTTAACTGAAATTTGTAAAGTAACGTACATTTTTGTCATTTTTCTACTCTGCTGACTGCATCGAAGTTGCAAATCTGCTATCTTGAAATTAAAGGAAATTAAAAAGAAAATAGCAAGGTGTCAATCAGCTCAAAAAGGTTTAAAAGTTGTTAAAGAGGTTGATTTGCAATATATTTCTATTTGGCGAACTGCATAATCAATAGGAGCAGGATGTCACAAATCTTATAACTGAAGATTCTTTGCCACTCTCAAGGTTAAGATGTAATGGTCATACCTCATGTCATGCCATCTCTAAACATTTGAATAAATAATTAAATGTATAGAGCGTGTATATCCATGCAGGTACGGCCTCCGTTGTCTTTTTCAGAGTTGTTTCTAAGATCCTCATCGTACCATATTCTAAATTGTTGCCCTCTTGTTACTTTCAAAGGTACGGAAAGGTTATTGAATATCAGCCTGCTTGAGTCAGACCGCACACCAGGAAGTCGGTATCTTTGAATGCCAGACGTTTGTGGGAAAATGACTTTGTTCTTTTCGTTAGTAAGAAACGTTCGGAGATCGGGTCCTTCCTGGCACCCCCAGAAACTAGATGATCCTCCAACATGACACGTGACTTTGCCGCGTAGATGAGCTAGAGCAAATGACATGATTTTGCCGCTGTATTGAAGTGTAAACTCTCCGTAGGATTCGTCTCGGGCACCAAAACAAACGTCTTCTGCATTTACCTTTAGCCACGCGGGAGCTAAAAAAATTGAAATAAAAGTGGTTTAAATATATGAATAAAACATAAAATCAACCTCTCAAGTCTGCAAAATACAACTGAAGGACTATTGTGTCTCAACAAGAGACGAGAGAAGAGAGAGCACTCAAAGTTAACGGTTCAACAAACTCTGTAATTCACGAAAACGAGGCCAACACGTGACTATTTACAATATATCATTATTGGCCAATATTGTCACATCCTCCCCTTTTTGTCAAGCTAAATTCTGAGGGGAAGATAACTAACATGACAATGGTAAACAAACTAACAAATAACAATAACACTGCAAAACTAAGCTTATTTTAGCACATACGCACGCTGGACGACCGTTTATAAGCTGTAGTCTGTAATCATGGATTTTTTTTTTCTGGTCTGCAAAGAACTCAGCTAGCTCTTTTGCATTTGTATTAAGTCTTTTAGGATTTGATTGTCAACAGGGTCAAGGTAATTACCTTTTACTTCACATAATTTTCCAGCGTATTCGGAAGAGCAGTGACAAAGGAATCCACATGTCTCGTACAAAGGCACACACATGGAACCGTGCTGACATGGCGCATGCTCACAAGGACTCTAGGAGGATATCAATCACAAATATATAGCAAAGTTATATTCATTATAAAAAAATGTCTTTGATTTCTCAACCTTTGAAATATGAGGGGAAATGGAACAAAGAAACAAAAAAAATGGTTAAAAAAGATAGGGAAAGAAATTGAAGAAAATTCAATTGCCCAAATTAGAAAAATGTCATAGAGCAGTCCTCAAAGGCAAATATTGATTATGATGAATAAATCATTCAAATTTAATTTGAGTTAGGAGCCTATAGAATTCTAAAAATAAGAGGTTTTTATTTACTTTGTTATGAAACCCAAACAAAACAACAGCTGGAGAAAAACTTATATATGTTTAAATGTGCTGTAGTGTCGAATTCATTTTTTAATTCGCTGACTTTTTTATGTTTCATTTTCGAGTCAAAATGGCTTTATAAAAATATTCGTAAAAGGGTTTGTGTTACTTAAGAAATTATAACAATCTTCAGTAATTTCCATCTATGTCGGACACAAATAAATTCTTTTTACCATGATATTGTAATGATGATATTCTGCACTCGTTTCGAAATTCACGGAGTTATTAAACTTGTCAAAAGCCAGGAGCTCGCAGTGGTGTTTTCCATCAAAATTCCCTCTCAGTCTAAAGTTGAAAGAACGACAGCTTAGCATTACAAGGCAGTCCAGTGCACACTGCACAGGGTCGTGTACAAGGCGGCTGTAGATATGATGCACCCTCAAGTAACGGTGAGGATTTTCAATAAAGCTTGCGCGTCCCATTGGCTTTCCATCTAAGATGATCCTTTCGCCACATTTGCACGAAATGTGACCCACTGTCATCATCAAGTATAAAAATGAGTGTGTAAAGAGTTTTCGCAAATCCATTTGTTTTCTTGATCAAATGCGTTCGAGTCAGATGTTTCTGCGTTAAAGACACATTTTAACGATTGCAATTTATGTGAGTGCTCATGTTGTCATTTTCAAAACAAATTAACACTACCGATGAAAGGAAAACATTCTTTATTGAAAATTTGACAGGTGATTGCCTAGTAGTAATAATGGGTTTGTTCTGTTGTTTTGTTAGGGCTGAATTAAACATCTGTCTTTACTCCGCGATGGGCTGCTGGTATTTCTGCAATTACTGTACATTTCTATTTCTATTACTGCCACCATTGCTCTAATTACCTGCAGTAGCTGAAACAATGATGTACTAACCAGATTTTTTTTTATGACTTTTCTTGCCTTGGAAATTTTTTTTTTCGTCTAACGGGGATTATCCATCAGAAGCTTATGACAACTCTTTTTTACAGGATTTCTCCAAAATACTCTACATACCGTGACATCACATCACGATCATCTATTCACGCTGTCAAGGACGTTCTCTCAGAGGGCAACGCTCACGTTCGGGAGAGAGACGATGAGAGAAATGCCATTTCTTCCTATGCATTTTCATACGAAACCAATTTAAGACGCCTTCCTTTGCACAAAGTCCTTTTACGGTCAGTGCGTAACCACATTATTTGTTCTAAAAATAACACATTTAACTATTTCGATAGACCCAACTCTGAAAACTTTAGAGGGAAAAAGGGTATTTGGTAAGAGAATGTGCCCCTCACCCAGCTCATAGTCATGCAGGCGCTTCTTGGGATTTTGTGCTGCGGTAGTTGCGGTGGAAGGAGTCATTGTCAGAACCAAGGAAAAAAAAAAGTTCGCCTCTAACCACCAGCTGCTGTGTAAGAGGCAGGATCATTGTCGTTACAGTTGCCATTAGCTATGAGGCTTGGTAAGACTAATTAACAATTATTCCACGAGGGCGCGTTGGATATGAGATGATAGATAGCCAACGAGGCGCAGAGCGCCGAGTTGGCTATAATCATCTCATATCCAACAAGCGCGAGTGGAATAATTGTTTTATTAAAAACGCCCACAAAATCTCGTTGAATCTCCCCGACTAGAACAAACCGGAAAAGACAAGGGACTTCCGCTATTCATGTCACACGTCTATCAAAACTATCAACGCGCGAACGGACTCACCTGGACTGCATGAATGAAAAATGAAAACATTGTAGCGATGAACATTAGTTTTTTTAAAAACTCATCGGGATTCTAGGATTTTACACAGCAGAACAGCTGAAAAAACCTGGCAGATAATGTGAGGGAAAAGAATTTTTAAGTAACAGCCGTCGAAATTACTGTGAATTTGGATTTTCGGTGCAGTTATAAAAGTAAGAACAACGGAGAAAAACTATTACCTCGGTCGCTTGTTATGAAGTTGTTTGAACCCACAAGCTGGTTTTGCTGGACGAAAAAAGAAGCTATACTGCCGCCTCGATTGCTCTAGTGAATGGCTGCATAGCCTGTATTTGTAGCTGGTTACTTGTGTTTATATTCTTGATGTCGGATAAACAAGCCGCAGTTATCTATCGGCGAGTGACCCGATCGGCGAATGGCTTCGCAATCATGAAGAAACAACACTTGTCTTCTTTCGTAGCTGGTCAAGGTACTTTAGTCCCATGTGTTTTCATGCGTTTTTCGACAAACGTTCAAACAAGCTCTTGTGGCTTTTTTGTTTGTTTTTGTCGTTTTTCTTTCGATGAAATTGCATTTCTAGTATTCTAAGAAATGAATTAAGACGATTTGCTTCGGGCGCCGTTCTATCCTTCGCGAAAAAAAATCTCAGCTAGCTTCCAATTTTAAACTGACGCGTATACCGACCATATATGGAGAGCATGGTATACTAGCTCATATACCATAACGGCTAAGCCAATCAAAATGCTAGAATTGCATTATCCAATGATTCTTTTTTTAATAATTTTCAGTTAGACCGGATTATTCTTTCAGAAATTTATTACCTTCAAAAGTTTGTTAATATCACCATTGCAACATTGGTTATCCGATGTTTCTTGTAAGAGTTATTCCATTCACAATTCATGCTTTATGTATATCCATATGGAGAACGCTATAGAGGGTGAGGTCTCGGTAGAATAATTGTGCTCTTTAATTCGTCTTCGGATAGCCGTAAAGGCCTTTTTTTTAAAATTCACTC